CATGTGATCTATAAATGCGAGTTATTATTAGCATTATTGTTTAAGTCAAGAAGATGAATTTGGCTTGTTCTAGGACCTAGAATCCAGGTGACCGGTGGAAAAGGCAATAGGAAACATTCAATTATATAAGCAGCAAGGGAAGGAGACCCTAACAGGGCCCCCATTGACTCTTGACGGACATAAACAGCAACCACATCATTCCTGTATAACTTGGGGCCAGCAACAAAAGAGAAGAGACCTTGTTCTTTGAGATCATTTGTCTTGCAGCTTTGAAAAGGTCAAAGGTTATCTTACCCTTGGCCTTAAGGGACTCAGAATTGAAGGTTAACCATTATGACATATCAAATAAACTAAAAGCACAATATACTGTTTATAAAAGATTACCCAAACAAGTCACTCAGCAGGAGAGGCACTTGGAGTTGTTTTCCCAGCTGTTTCTAGCAGTCAGATCCAATTCCTTGACGTATTATTACGGTGAAATGGCATTATACCCAATCCTTTCTGAATACCACACAATAGGCCTACTGTACCTCCATAATTAACTGGATAAATATTTATTGAGTACCTACTACATACAGGGTACTTTTGCTCTATACCAGCCATCAGCAAACTATGGCTGGCAGGTAAATTTAACCCATCTCACGGTTTTGTATGGCAAATAAGGTAAAAATGATTTTTACATTTTTAAATGGTTGGGAGAATTGCCCTCAACCACTATTATGGAACACTTAATGGCGTTGGAAATTAACTTTTGCTGCAGATTTGATAATGTTTCTTAGTCAACCGAAAATTACAAGGCAAAATAATGCTTATATGTGAAACTTACACTGTACTAAAGTCATTTCAACAATTAACATTGTCTGAATCACAAGTAATATAAAGATGCTTTATATACTTTCCATGTTGTCCCAAGCCAAAATAGCAAAACCACAATGAGACACCACTTTACAACCACTAGAATGCCTGTAATAAAAAAGATAGACATAAATAAGTATTGGTAAAGACGTGGAGAAATTTGAACCCTCAAACAATTGCTGGTGGGAAGGTAAAATGGTACAGCCACTTTGATAGAGTCTGGAAGTTCCTCAAAAAGTTAAACATAGAGTTATCATATAACCCAGCAGTTCCAGATATATACCCAAGAGAAATGAAATTATGTGCCTGCACAGAAACTTGTACACAAATGTTCATAGCAGCATTATTCATAATAACCAAAAGGTGACAGCACAAATGCCCATAAACTGATGAAAGGATAAACAAATGTATTATATCCATAAACTAGAATAGTATTCAGCCATAAAAAGGAATGAAATACTGATACATGCTGCAACATGGATGAACCTTGAAAACATTATGCTAAGTGAAAAAAAGCCAGATATAAAAGAGTACATACTATATTATTCTATTTATATTAAATGTCCAGAAAATGAAAACCTATAGAGACATAAAATAGATTAGTGGTTACCTAGGGCTGAGGGTGGAAATGGGGAGGACTAAAAATAGGCATGAGGTTTCTTTCTGGGTTGATGGAAATTATTTAACATAAAAATGTGGTGATGGTAACACAAGTCTATAAGTATTTATAGTCATTAAACTGTACACTTAAAAAATAGCAAAGCTATTACACAAAGTTAGAAATCAGTTCAGTAGTTGTCAAGAGCTGGGATTGGGGGGAGAGAATTGACCACAAAGAAGCACAAGAGAACTTTTGGGAGTGATAAAAATATTCTATATCTTGATTGTGGTGGTGGTTCCATAATAGTATATATTTACCCAAGTGCATTGAACTTTCCATCTAAAAAGGGTAAGATTTACTGTGTGCAAATGACACCACAATAAAGCTGACTTAAAAAAAATAGTTTTATATATATAATGTAATATTATATATATTCTGAGTTTAAACTACAGTCCCAGGAGTGGTTTTTGGACTTTGAGGCAAGTGCAAAGGATATTTCCATATTCCAAAATGCATTTAACTGTGCAGTTGAGCAGCTTTCACCAAACCTTCAATTGGAATTGATCAATTTGCAATGTAATGACATGCTAAAAGGCAATATTAAGAGAAGAATCTAATAGAATTCTATTCCAAGCAATGGTTATGCTTATTAAAATCATTTGCTTGTGTACCCTTCATAGTATATGATGAGAATGGCACTTCACCTCTGTAGACTTCCATCCAAAAACATAACCCCAGTCTAACCAGGAAAAACACATCAGACAAACTCAAATTGAGGGATTTTCTACAAAATACCTGACCAGTATTCCTCAAAACTACCAAGGTCATCAAAACAAGAAAAGTCTGAAAAATTGTCAGACCAAAATAGGCTAAGGAGACACAATGACTAAATATAATGTGGTATCCTGGATGGCATACCATCCAGAGATAAACTAGTAAACTTAGAATAAAGTGTAGGGTATAGTTAATAATAATATACCAGTGTGGGTTTATTAGTTGTGCCAAATATAGCATAGCATGTAAAATGTTAATGATAGGAGATTCAGCAAATGGTGCTGGGACAATTCGGATATTCACATGGAACAAGATGAACTTAGACCCTCACCTCACACCATAAAGAAAAATTAACTCAAAATTAATCATAAACTGAAATGTAAGAGATAAAACAAAAAAACTTTTAGAAAACAACATAGGAAAAATTTGAGACCTTAGATTAAGCAAAGGCTTCTTAGGTACAATACTGAAAGCATGGTCCAGAAAAGAAAAAAAATGAAAACTTGGACTTAATCGAAATTCAAAACTTTTTACTTCAAAAGACACCATTAAGAAAAGGAAAAGACAAGCAGCAGACTGGAAGAAAATATTTATATATCATATACCTGACGGGGATTGCATCTAGAATATATAAACAATCCTTATAACTAAACAATAATAAGACAAATAATCCAATCTAAAAATGGAAAAAAGATATAACAGTTACTTCATCGAAGAAGATACACAAATGGCTAGTAAGTTCATGAAAAGATGCTCACCATAATCAGCCATTAGGGAAATACAAATTAAAATCACAATGAGACATCATTTCACATCCACTTAGAATGGCTATAATAAAAAACACAGTAAATAAAAAATGTTGGCAAGGATGTGGAGAAACAGGAACCCTCATACATTGCTAGTGGAAATGGTGCTGCCACTTTGTAAAACAGATATGTAGTTTCTTAAAAAGTTAAACATATATTTTCCCTATGACCCAGTAATTCCACCCTTAGGTATCTACCAAAGAGAAATAAAAGCGAATGTCCACACAAAGACTTACATACAAATGCTCTTAGCAGCACTAGTCACAATAGCCAAAAGTTGGAAACAACCTAAATGTCTATCAACTGGGGAATAGATAGGAAAAAATGTGTTATATCCATAAAATAGAATACTATTCAGCAATAAAAAATAAGAAGGTACTGATACGTGCTACAATATGGATGAACCTCAAAAATATTATGCTAAGTGAAAGAAGCTACACACAAAAGACCACATATTGTATGATTTCATTTACATGACATATCCAGAATACGTAAATACAGAGACAAAAGAGTATATTAGTGGTTGTCTGGGGCTGGGAGTGGAAATGGGGATTGACTATAAATGGACGTGTGGGATCTTATTGGGGGGAATGAAAATATTCTAAAACTGATTTATGGTGATGGCTTCCCCATTGAGTAAAGTTACTAAAAATCATTTAATTATGCACTTGAAATAGACAAATTTTAGAACATGTAAAATGTATCTCAATAAAGCTGTTCAAATGCAAAGAAAATGGTAGGGGAAACTGGGTCAGTGGTATACGGGAAATCTGCACTAATTTTGCAACTTTTCCATAAATCTAAAACTATTCTGAAATTTTAAAAACTTTATTTAAATAAAAATTTAAAAGTATATGTTCCTGGATTGATATCAATATTTGGCAGTACCTAGCTGTGTAAAAAGATATTTTTAAAGACTAAATAGATAAAATCTTATTACAAATCAGCATTAACAGAGTTTCATTTGGAATCAATTTTGATGATAGGGAACCCTAACTCTGAGCCCCAATTAAGCAAAATGTTATCCCCCAAAAAGAATTCCATTCTTCTCATTAGTAGTCCTGTATTACAAAAAGGTACTCAATTATTATTATTATATTTTGAATTTCATCAATAAACATTCGTTGAAATTTGTTTTCTCTCTTGTCATGTAAGTACCTACAAAATATCTTCAATATTGCCTTTTGGCCCACAAAGCCTAAAATATTTATTATCTGGCTCTATACAGAAAGTTTGCCAAGCCTTATTTCTACGCCGTAACAGGATAAACATAAACACATGTAGACTTTTTCTTGAATATACTCTTATCATTACCTAGTTTTGGCATAATGCCCTTCTGGATATGCCCTATAAAGGACAAGCCTTGCATCGCTTCTGCTATGACACCATCTGGGATTTCCATAAAAAGAAGCACTATTAGCTTAATAGTTCTAGCAAAGCCTCGATGTCATTAATATCGTGATATTAAAGTGCCAACAACACATCCCAGTATCCCTAAGATGACCCTGATCAAGTTGTGATGTCACCAGGTTAGGACTCACCAAGGTCTCTTAGATATCAAGTGGCTCCCACAGCATCACACCCTGCCTTTGGCATCACGCTGGCACATCACCTTAGCATGGTGTCATATGCTATCACTGCTGTGGCAGAACCCTACCCTGATGCCACTCCGCCGAGATGTCAGAGTAATTAACCCCTACTTCTTTCCACTCTCTAGGCAGTGGCAGAGAGGGGGAGGGTAGCCACAGTCACCGGTTCTTGCTCAGGAGGTAGTACTCAAGCTTCAACTGTTGTCCCTTCCGCCTGCCACTGCAACTCAGGCAACCCAGGAGACAGGACTTTTAGGCTCCCATAATTCTCTTGCCCTGCCCCCGCACCCGTTTCGTGTGTCCGACTCAATGGCCCAACAGCGACCACCCACCCCGGCTCTCACACACAGTTCCACTCGAAGCCGCTCCCCGTACCTGACTCCATTCTCCAGCTGTCATCGTGGGCCAATTCCACCGGCAACTTGACTACGGACGGGCGCAAGGATCCCTGGGACTTGTAGTTCTGCGCTGCTAGGGGCCGAGTCCGCGAGGGCGGCAAAGGCACCTCCCCGCCCGGAACTTCCCTCAAACTGCAACTCCCAGAGGCGCCGCGCGATGGGAAAAGAAAAGAGAACGAGGAAGGTCGGTGATTGGTGGAGTTCTGCCTGCTCTTTTGACTGGCAGCCGGATCCGGCGACGTGAGGCGGGCGTTGCTTGCGCTTCTCGGAGATCCTGGGAAAGCGAAATGGAGGGGTGTGTGTCTAACCTATTGGTGTGCAACCTGGCCTACAGCGGGAAGCTAGAGGAGTTGAAAGAGAGGATCCTGGCCGATAAATCCCTGGCTACTAGAACTGACCAGGTAAAGCAGCGCTAGGGCCTCTCCGCAGCCGGTTCCATCGGCGAAGCCCTACGTGGCTTCCCGGGCCCGGCCCAAGCGGAGGTCGGTTCTGCAAGGGGCAGATCCCAGCCCCTACCGCCCCAACAGCCCCCCGGGGGCACTTCGGGACTCTCAATCCGGTTGCAGGAGCTAGCCCCACAGACCTCAAGTGTGTGTGTGTATTTTTTTTTTTCTGGCCCAGCCTTAGCTCACTGAGTTTTGGATATTTCTAGAACGTCTACTGCATTTCTCAGGAATGCCCAATCCGTGAGGAGGAAAGCTTTTTATATGAGTTTCTTTACCTTTACTAGGAACTGTATTCTATGAAACACGTGTAACTCAACTTCTGGGCCGGGCAGTTTGCTAAGGGCTGGGGATACGATCGAGTGGAAGAAGCGGACAGTAAAGTAATCACAAAAGCATTATGTCCGATTACAAATTGTGTGGTTCATACTCGGGAGAGAAGTTTACATGGTGTTTTCAGAACACGTAATAGGAGGACCCAGTGCCTAATGTTGTGGTAATTGGAAAAGGCTTTGCAAAGGAGGGAAGGTTAGACCTTAAAGGATGAGTAGGATTTCCATGGGGAAAGAAAGACATTCTGAGCAAAGGCGAGCAAAAGTGAATGGATGTTGTTGGGAAGTGTTTCTGCCCTCCTGCTCAAAGGACTAGCATGCTCTCACCCTGAGTTTCTAGAAGGATTCACGGTACCCTTAATAAACGCACAAATATTTATAGATTGCTTTCTGTTTGACAGACACTGTGCTAAACACTAGAGAGACAGTATCTTATACTTACAAATCTCTATTTTGTGTCTTTTGGAAGAAAATTTGAAGTCAGGAGGCAGTTTTTTCTGGAACTTTATTACTCAACCTGAAAATGGCTTTACTTTTACCTACCTTACCTTCATTATGGTCTGGTAATATTTAATAATTTAAATTTAAATGTAATAATTCATATTAAGTTAAGATTTAATAATACTCCCTGGAAAATTTAACCAGTCTTTTGCCCAGTCAGTGGCTTATAAAGGGAAGGATCTATTCAGGATCAAGAGATTTAAGAAACATAACCAGATGCCATTTGTGTACCTTGTTTCGTTCCTGATTTAAACAAACCAACTGCAAAAAGACATTTGGGGAACAATTGGGGAAATCTGAATACAGACTGGGTATTAGATGTTATAAAGGAACTGGTGTTAATTTTAATAGGTGTGACAATGGTCTCATATAAGAAAATACACTTAATTTTTAGAAAATCAAATATTCAAGTGTGAAAGGTCATGATATTTAGGATTTGTTTTAAGAAACTTCAGCAAGGAAAAAAACTAGGTGAAGCAAATATGGCAAAATATTTACTGTTAAATCTAGACGATGGGCCTGTGGGTTTCTATTGTAGTCCCTCTATTTTTATGTGTTTGAAATTCTTTGTAATAGAGTTTAAAATACCATTTCTTATTACGTGGTGCTGACTAAGAAATATAGCAGTCACTGCAAAGAGGGATTCCCTTTGAGAAATATGACTACTAGCTTATTACTTTTTATAAATAGAAATTTTGTTGCTCTCTAATCCTGTGTGTAGTATGTTTTCTAACTGATTACATAATTTCAAATAGTTTTATGAACATTACTTCCCCAATAAAATTCATGTGTTCTTTCCAGAGCATCTAACTTGAAATCAGTGTGGTAGTAATTTCAAACTCAGACAGGGTTTGTGATCCAACCTCACCATTTGCTAGCCATGTGACCTTAGACAAGTTGCTTACCCTGAGGAGTCTTAGTTTCCTTATCTGTAAAACAGGGATAATAACCACTGTATAGGATGGTAGGGATTAAATGAAACAGTGCTTGTAAAACTCCAGCACAGTGCCTGACGTAGAAGTACATACATAATGTAATAGTAAACAGCCAAACCTCTATATCTACCAGAGCATTGAAATTAGTTTCTTGCTCTACTACTTCCATCACCATAATCTGCCCAGAATTAATTAGGTTCATTGATGTTATTTTCCCCATGTTACTAAAACCTTGATCTCTCTGATATTAGTAAGCAATGTAGTTTAAGGTTACCTACCTGAGGATCCAGTGCTCTCCATTTCTTCTTTCCAAACTGTAGGGTTACCAGTACCAGTGTTATTTTTTTTCTGCTTTTTTGTCTTATTTCTGTGTCTCTTCAAGAATGTTTATCTTCTTCTCTGTTTCCCATGTAGGACAGCAGAACTGCCTTGCATTGGGCATGCTCAGCCGGACATACAGAAATTGTTGAATTCTTGTTGCAGCTTGGCGTGCCAGTGAATGATAAAGATGATGTGAGTACTAGGCAGAGTTGATAACTTCCCAGTTATCTTTAGACTCCAGACTGGTGTTTACGGAAGCCTGAGTATTAAGCTCATAAACAAAATTGTAACCTTTACAACTAAGAAGTTACAGCATGGCCCTGGTGATCAAGAGACTAGTGGTTGCATTATTTTCAAATGTTAGTTTTGCCACTTATACTCTGTGATTTAAGGTAAACATACAGATCAGGGCTTACTATGGTGAACCCTAAAAGACTGTAAATCCTTTTTATTATGTTGGAATTTTTTTTTTTTTTTTTGGTGAATGTTTCCTGAATAACAAGGGCCTAAGTACCATTTTTGTTATGGAAAGAGATTTACTGTAATGGTATTGGTTATATTAGGATTAGACTTGTGAAGAATAAGAATGGAACATTTTTTTGTAGACAAAGATTCCTTTCCCTTTGTAAAGCTGTTTGTAAACCTTGCTTAAATGTTAAGCATTAATTTCTGTCCCTTTTCACCCCGGTTTTTGTACTGCCCATTTCTTTTATAGGCAGGTTGGTCTCCTCTTCATATTGCTGCTTCTGCTGGCCGGGATGAGATTGTAAAAGCCCTTCTGGGAAAAGGTGCTCAAGTGAATGCTGTCAATCAAAATGGCTGTACTCCCCTACATTATGCAGCTTCCAAAAACAGGCATGAGGTATGGTTCCATCCCTAGGCTACTTCTGTTGAGTTCTAAACGTATACACAAACACAAATAGACCTCTGCATTGTTTTCTTCTCTGTCTTTCCAGATTGCTGTCATGTTGCTAGAAGGCGGCGCTAATCCAGATGCTAAGGACCATTATGAGGCTACAGCAATGCACCGGGCAGCAGCCAAGGGTAACCTGAAGATGATTCATATCCTTCTGTACTACAAAGCATCCACAAACATCCAAGACACTGAGGGTAACACTCCTTTGTAAGTGACAAGTAGCAGTCATTTGTATTCTACCTGACATTAGCCCTCGTGCAATAATTCTTACATACCATTTTTTTTTCATTCTGCTTACAAATGCAATACATATTAATGGCAAAAATTTGAAAGTACACAAAAGTATAAAGAGAAAAATAAAAATTACCTATTATCTTGCCACCCAGAAGTAACCGCTCATAACATTTTTGTGTATTTCCTCCCAGTTTTTTATATGCAAATGTGTACATTTTACACACTTATTTTTTTAACAAAATTGGGGTCATACTATGTATGTAGTTTTATTAGTTTTATATCTTGTTCTTTTCACCTCATATTGTGAGCATTTTCCAATATCGTTTAATATGTTTAAAATTTTTTACTGGTTATATACAATACCATTTTATGGATCTGCCACAATTTAATTTAATTTACTGTATGTTGAAATTGTTTTGAGTTTTCCACTATTATAAATAATGCTACATCGACCAATGTTGTACAGAAACCTTCGGCCACATTGTGAGCATTTTCCAATATCGTTTAATATGTTTAAAATTTTTTACTGGTTATATACAATACCATTTTATGGATCTGCCACAATTTAATCATTCCTCTGTTACTGTATGTTGAAATTGTTTTGAGTTTTCCACTATTATAAATAATGCTACATCGACCAATGTTGTACAGAAACCTTCGGCCACATTTCTGATCATTACCTTAGTATGGACTCCTAGAAGTTGAATTGCTGGGTCAACAAATACATGTGAAGACTATTGCTATATATTGCCAAATTGCTTCCAGAGGAGTTGTATCATCGTGCCTTCCCAACAGTAGTTTAAGAGTGCCTATTACCCCCACAGGAACACTAAAATTATCCTTTTGTTATGTGAAAATGGTATTCATAGTTGTAATTTACATTTTTTATTATCAGTAAATTTGAACATTTTTTAATGCTTTATGGCTAATTATATTTCTTCTCTAATTGTAACTTTTTGTGTCACTTTCTCTTTTCCTTTTGGGGAACTAATTTGTTTTTACTGGTTTTTAAGTGCTCTTGACTTGACATATTAATAATATTAACCTTCTGCAATGTTAGTCGAAAATGTTTTCCCAGTTTGTCTTTTCATTTTGTTCATGAATTTTTTAAATAACAGAAGTTTTTAATTTCTATGTAGTCAAACCTATTAATCTTCCTTCATGACTGGAAAATTGTTCCTCACCCTGAAATTAGTTAAATATTCTCCTATGTTTTATTGTAGTTTTTTTTTTTTTAACATTTCATTGGTTTTGGTTAAGGGTTATTGTTACTGTTTTGCATTTAACTCTTAAATTCATCTGGAACCGATTTATGTGTATGACCTGAAGCTGGCCGCTACCTTGATATTTTTTCCACAGTACTTGGCT